CTCCCCCAGGTCCCCTCCACCATGTAGCCCTCACTCTAGACTCCTGTGATGACAGAAATACCTAGTTATATATCTCTTTTAAACAGTTTTCTCCGTCCTCTGTTTCAGTGCAGTATACATTATTGAACCCATCTTACTCAGTCTCTCCCCAACCCTAAGGACAGTCCCATTCTACAACAGTGGCAGCATGTAATATTTAAACACCTCTTTAAAGTGTTAAAAAAGAATACCAGATTAAGGACTAAGGTGCCCTTCACCCAAACTTGTGCATCTAAATGTTGAATAATTATCAAGGAAGACAGAATAAGAATCAATGTGTTTGGTGAAGAGAAATGGACCATGGACTGCCAAAAGAACAAACAAACCTGCCTTAGAGATGGTGTAACTGTGGTGCTCCTTACAGGTAAAAATGGTCAAATTTCATGTCTGCATACTTTGGACATGTTGTCAGGAGGGGCCAGGCCTTGGAAAAAGGCATCATGCTAGGACAGGTAAAGGTTCAGTGAGAGACAAAATAAAATGGCCTCGTTTTTCTAACAGTGGGCTTAGGTGTGGTGATGATTATGGCAGTGGCAGAAGAGGGCGTGGTTTCCATCGTTCATACAGTTGCTATGACTAATAGCCACAGCTCCAAGTGACATACCTAATGAAAAACAGCTGGAGCATCTCTCAGCACAACTTCTTCCACAGCTTTGTCATAACTGGAAAGTAATAGATAAGATTAATTGGCAAATAGGATACTCCTCCTCCCTTCACGTTTGTGAAAACTAAAATAAGGTGATGATGGTGGTGGTGGTGGTTGATGGTGTGTACCATCGAATTGTAACTAACCCATAACTGACTCTCCAGCAGGTTTTTGAAGGCAGTTAATGGCAAGGGAGGAGATTGCTCATCTCTAGCCCACAACACAGCTGGTAGATTTGAACCAAGTGCCTTCAAGATTGTGACACAACTTCTTACCACTAGGCTACCAGAGTTCCCCAGGCAAGATTAGCAGACAGGAATTTCATAGTGTGGTGACAAGCTTGTAAAGGTTATGGTTCTGAAATTCTTAATAAGAAACACTGATTTTACAGCTTCTAACAACATCTCTGACAACATTGACTTTATTATGATCAGATAGGATATGTCAAAAACAATTGAAGAGTAGAATATTTTCTAAACTTTGGCAAAGATATGGAAAATATCTACCCACAGTTGTCTTACTCACTTAGCTCTCCTCTCCCAGCACCTTAAATAAGTTAGCACTGAGTTGGGTATAAAATGAAAGTTGAGTATAGTTGTGTCAGACAGTGAGTGCTCAGCAAAGAGCAGGTTCAGAGCTGGCAGGCATGGGGTTGCTGAGTCAGAGTCAACAGCACATAACATTTACTGATTTTTTTTCTCCTAAGTGTCATTCCCTCTTTATTATTGCTTTAATAATTTTAAATTAGTAATCTTTAATATTAAATCTGTTTAACTGTTGAGTAGTCTGTAATAATTGCTTGACCTGTTTCATTAGTAAGAATTTCTTGTATTATTTTTTTGTATTATTTTTACGTGTACCGTCAAATTATATCTGACTGGTACAGGAGGAGATTGCTTCCTCCTTCTCCAGCAGAGCATCTGGTGGATTTGAACTGTGTACCTCTGGGAATAAGAATTTCTTTCAAAACTTACAAATTATACTCTTATGTCTTTGTTTTTCTTGCCCAGGAGCCCATTCCTTCGTTGCCCCAGTCACCTATAAAAGAAGCGTCTTCCAAAGCGTTCCATCAGTACAGTAACAACATCTCCACGTTAGATGTGCACTGTCTGCCACAGCTTCAGGAACGAGCATCTCCTCCTGGGTCACCTCCTATCACCTTCCCTCCTGCTTTTGAAGCAGCCAAAGTAGAGGCAAAGCCTGATGAACTGAAAGTAACAGTCAAGTTAAAGCCCCGACTAAGAACTGTACATGGTGGGTTTGATGAGTATAGGCCTTTGAATAAAAAGTGGAAAGGAATGAAGTGGAAGAAATGGAGCATCCATATTGTCATCCCCAAAGGCACATTCAAACCACCTTGTGATGATGAAATTGATGAATTTCTGAAGAAATTGGGTACATCCCTTAAACCTGATCCGGTGCCCAAAGACTATAGAAAGTGTTGCTTTTGTCATGAAGAAGGTGATGGGTTGACAGATGGACCAGCAAGGCTGCTCAATCTTGACTTAGATCTGTGGGTCCACTTGAATTGTGCTCTGTGGTCCACAGAGGTGTATGAGACCCAGGCTGGTGCCTTAATCAATGTGGAACTAGCACTGAGGAGAGGCCTCCAAATGAAATGTGTCTTCTGTCATAAAATGGGAGCCACCAGTGGGTGTCACAGATTTCGGTGCGCCAACATTTACCACTTTACTTGCGCCATTAAAGCACAATGCATGTTTTTTAAGGACAAAACAATGCTTTGTCCCATGCACAAACCAAAGGGGATCCATGAGCAGGAATTGAGTTACTTTGCAGTCTTCAGGCGGGTCTATGTTCAGCGTGATGAAGTGCGGCAGATCGCCAGCATCGTGCAGCGAGGAGAGCGCGACCATACCTTTCGTGTCGGAAGCCTCATCTTCCACACGATCGGCCAGCTGCTCCCACAGCAGATGCAAGCATTCCATTCTTCTAAAGCACTCTATCCTGTGGGTTATGAGGCCAGTCGGTTGTACTGGAGCACGCGTTATGCCAACCGGCGCTGTCGCTATCTCTGTTCCATTGAGGAGAAGGATGGACACCCAGTGTTTGTGATCAGGATTGTGGAGCAAGGCCATGAAGACTTGATCTTAAGTGATGCCTCACCCAAAGGTAAGAACAGCCATGCTCTACTCTACAGAGCTAGTCACACTGACAGCAGTAACCTCTTGTCCATATTCTCATATTTATTTCTCCTTTTCCATTTATATTTTATCATCACATGTGTAGACTTTTTATTTATAAATACAAAGTGAACATTGAGTTATTACACCTTGCTTTCTTTGCTATGTAGCCTTCTAAATGTTGTCTAGATGTGTCTTAATTCAGGTCACAAATATATATTCTTGTCAATACATATTCAGAGATAGAGTTTATAAATGAGGATGATTTGTAGATAAAGCTGTATATTGTATACTGTAAAGCCCTTAAGTTTGATGATGTTTTCAGCGTTCTGGTGGCCTAGTGCCCTTTCAAACCAAAGGCAGACAGTTTACCAGTTGCTCTGACAAAGAAAGATGGACATTCTCCTCTTGTGCAGTTTACTCCCTCTGGAAACCTGCTGGGGTCAGCTAAGAATCTGTTCTGACTTGATAGTAAATCAATGTTATGTTTTTGGTAAAGGTTTACACAAGACTTGAGATCCACTCAACAATTTTTGCACAAATAGTTCAGTAACATTGGTACATTGTTGACAGTGAGTCAGCATTTTCATTATTTCCTTTGTTTTTATTTATTTGATTTTGCTGCCCCTTTACAGTCTTCTGTTTTTAAATAATTACATATCATTAAAATGTATTTTCTAAATTAAAATATATTTTCTATATTACATATTATTACTATTGTTCTTGTTGT